TTTACTAAAGTATATTTTCAAGTGACACTAGTTTTTATAAGATTTCTTCCAATGGCACAAAATGACTTAGTGTTTTTCGTAAAGGTAGCACACTTTTAGCTCCTTCCACTCAGTCTTCCAGACGTCAGGATGAAAGAAGATGATCTAGTCAAGTGAGAAGGTACTTACTCAGGACCACTTTGGGAGTGGAAGAAAAGGTCAGTTTGATTAACTCATGAGGGAAACTACAAAGCGACATTGCAACTCAGAGTTAGATAAATAAACTGCATATTAGTTCTTTATCTTCCCACAAGCATTTATGTTGACTTGTGCATACTTCCAGCCTTTTCTTAATTTAATTTCCAGAATTCACCTTAATGTCTTTCAGAATTTCAACTGCATCTAATTTTATTACTTTATACTTCCCATAACAATATACTAAAACTTGCTAAGCCCCGTTCTCTTTAAAACCATTAGCAGAACTTATTTGGTCTATGAATCTAACAGAAGAAAATGGTACATAAGCCAGGTGGTGGCAGCACACCTTTAATCCCCCAGCACTTGGGAAGCAGAGGCAGGTGGATTTCTGTGACTTTGAGGCCAGCCTAGTCTAGAGCGAGTTCCAGGACAGCCAGGGCTACACACACAGAAACCCTGTCTCAAAAATATCAACAACAAAAGGTACATACTAGGACTTTTTGGTTTGGTTTGTTGTTTTTTAAGCAGGTCTCACTGTATAGCTTTGGTTGCCTTAGTTTCCTAAGTGCTAAATTTACAGATATGTGCTACCATACCCAACACTGTCTTAATTTATATTTGTATTATATAGGAGGTTGAAAGTCTTAACATATACATAAAATAATCTGAATTTCCTGTTTTGAGATTCTGTGCATGACCTTTGCCTACTTGGTGTTAATCTTTTGTTTACTGATTACGAAGTATCCTTTGTATATTAACGTCTTTGTCTTCAGTAGAAATTACAAACATTTCCCCAGTTTCTTCATTATCATCACACTACTTTTATTATTTCATGCTATACTGATTCTTTTATACATATCTTTCTTAAACTGTAAATTCTTCTCATTGCACATAATTCTTTTGTATATCCCTAGACAAATGCTTTTCAGACCTTTAGTACTGAAGATGAAATTAAAAGGTAAAGATAAACCGCTTTTGGAATGAGTGAGCACAGATCTTCTCACGGGGTACCTACTGGGATTGTTCATGGTAACAATAAGTACAACCAAGTTCCAATAACTTAAGCTAGTCTGTCAAACAGGAAGAAGCCAATATTGATTTGTCTCCATTTGTCTGGGTGGGGACTGTAAAGATACAGAAGCTGCTGGTGAGCATATTTTCTATCAGGAGGAACAGAAAGTGCCCCTGTAGCCAGAGAAGGACAAGCCACATGTTCATTAGCAACAACAGGACCTGCAGTGTCAGTGGGTTCCAGTAACAAGGAGAGATGGTAAGGAACCTATCAGGGTTGTTCCAAGCAAGGAGTCTAAAAGAAAAAGCAGAAGATGACAAAGGTGTCGGGGTCAGGATACATGCAGGACCTAACAAACAGTGGAAAGAATCTGCAAAGTTAACAAAACAAAACGAAACACACAAACAAAACCCTACTCACTGTCTTGTCTTCAATTCTCATTCTACCTTAAATCTATAACTTCAATGTACCTTTTGTTTTTGTTGTTGATATTTTTGAGACAGGGTTTCTGTGTGTGTAGCCCTGGCTGTCCTGGAACTCGCTCTAGACCAGGCTGGTCTCAAAGTCACAGAGATCTACCTGCCTCTGCCTCCTAAGTGCTGGGGGATTAAAGGTGTGCCACTACCACCTGGCTTATGTACCATTTTCTTCTGTTAGATTCATAGACCAAAGAAATTCTGCTAATGGTTTTAAAGAGAATGGGGCTTAGCCTTTTGAAATAGTCACCTCCAAGTATTTAAAATACTCAATTGTCAGTGGAATCTAGCAACAAATAAACATTTTTTTTCGATAAGCAGAAATGTCTCTTGTGGTATGTTTCACTTAAAAAAGAAAAGGGGCTGGAGAGATGGCTCAGGAGTTAACAGCTCTTGCTTCTCTTCCAGGACTGGAGTGTAGTTCTCAGCACTCATTTGGGGCAGCTCACAACCACCCATAAATCCACTTTCAGGATTTCATAAATCCAATGACCTCTCTTAGCCTCCAAAAGCAACACATGTATGTGGGACACACACACACAAAATAAACCTTTTTTTTTTTTTTTACATTTTTTAATTTATTTTAAGATATAATATGTATACAGTGTTCTCTGCATGTATACCTGCACGCCAGGAGAGGGCACCAGATCTCATCTTAGATGGTTGAGAGACACCATGTGGTTGCTAGGAATTGAACTCAGGACCTTTGAAGAGCAGCCAGTGCTCTTAACCTCTGAGCCATCTCTTCAGCCCAACAAATCCTTTTTAAAAGGAAAGGAAAAAGTAATTTTAGAACAAAAGCAAAATCATCTTAAAAGAAAAAAAGGGGCAATTTAAGGATGGGAACTACTTCAAATCATTAATTGTTATGTGCATGAATGTAGCATGAAAAGATTTGAAAAAAGTCTCTGAGTTATTCTATCATAATCAAGGAAGGTCATAAAAGTTAACTTCTTTTTAACCTATTAAAAACGCATTTTACTTTGCTTAACTGAGTTCATTTTCTGAAATGGCCACTTCAAGGTTAAGTATTGTCAAAAAAGAGTATGTAGAAATCTGACTTAATTATAATGGATAAAAATAATCATAATTTAATAGTCAAAAGGTATACATTTTTAACTAATCTCCATGACTGCCAGAAGACCACCTTCTCTTCTGTAGGGAAATGAACATAAATTTAGCTACAAGAGACGCTTTGATATCTCCGGCTCTAAAAGCTTTTAAAGGAGACCAAGCCAATCTGCTTTAACAGGTATGGAATTAGTGTACTTCATAGAGGAGTGATGATCTTTCCAAATCCTTGAAGACAACTAATATCTGTGTACATTAAGCAAGTAATTAAACCTGCATTCCTGCTAAGATTAATGCCAGTAAAACCTGATCTCTGAAAGATATAATGCATTCATGAATCTTAAGTTTCATGGTTAGTTAGTCCATTTAACAGCAGTCCAAAAAGTACACTGTTAATAACAGTCTAGGAGGAGAGGAACTTTGTGATTGGAGTGGGAGTTAAGAGAAGTCATTACACACTGAGATCAAGACTTGGTTCTGAATGCATCCTCCTTAGCACTCTCCAGCAGTCTGGCAAAGCGCCCTGGATGATTAGCAGCCAACACATGCAGAGTAGGGATCCTTTTGAGATGAACTGCAAAGGCTCCCCCAAGCGGTCACAAAAAAAAAAAAAAAAAAAAAACAGCCAAGTGTGGGCTAATCACTGATGCTGCTTTGAATCAAACCCAAAATACTCTAAGCAAAGCTGATGCCTAATTAGAGAAAAATGTAATCAAATACCAGATCTACTATAATAGAGAGATCTTCCATGACTTAAGATGTAATGTTTATGAACAGAGAACTACTTTTGGAAGGAAAAAAGCCTAACAGTAAAACAAAACTACAATTTTTCTCTATAAATTTTTCTAGGGACGATAGCATCTCAAACAGTTGAATACTTTTCAAATCTGTTCAACCCTCCCTAAATATCAGCATATCCTTTGTAACTATATTTATTTGAAAAGTTCTGATACAAATTTTGTTGCGTAGCAAATGAAATACATTTGAAAAGAAAATTTATCAGTTACTACATACCTAAGTTAGAATTTACAGAGGTCCCCTTCATGTCACTAGTAATCTGCACTAACTGTAAATGACGTAACAATACAAACGGGTCTTCCTGCCCCTCTCACTATTTATCTTCTTGATGTTTTCACTGCCTGAGTCTCAGATGAGCATGAACCCTATATTCTTTGCAACTCTCCCCGCAATGATTTGCTTGCTGATACTACTATCCCTTTTGATAAAGCTAAGATGTCCAAAATGTGCAAAACATTTAATTAAAGCATCTGTTGTCTCCTGCTTATCATCCATTATTCAGTGGGAAAGCCTACTTAGGTATGGTAAATACTCAAACAAGCAACACAATTTTAAAACATTATGAAAGGGCTACCCAGAATCTCATGACTTACTTTCTCCTTTTTTAAATCTCAAGCCTAAAGGTGAAGGAGAGAGAAGCAGCGTGGGTAGCCATCTGACACAATTTCAGCCTGAAATAAGCTTCAAGCAAAAAACAAAGTGCTCCCTCAAATATTTAAGAAAATTATCAAATCCAACAGTTTTCCTGAAAAGAAAAGACTGCCTTATATAGAGCTATCAGATTTAACTCCAACAACTTGATATTTTTTTACCTCCAAACTTTACACACAGGACACACACACACACACACACATCCAATATTCCAACGTGGAAATGGGAGTCACTGGATTAATTTACGAAAAGTCACACACCTAGCCTGTAGTCTCCATAGGACAAAATAGAGCAATTCAAAGTGTTACCATTTGTGCATTATGTAACTCTAATTTAGAATAAAAGAAACATGAGCAATATATGTATTTAAACAATAATTTATATATATGAAAGCTTTCACAAACAAATGACCTCAAAATAAAACAACCCCCAAAGTTATTTGTTTACAGAGTAATCAGGCCTTTGAACCCAAAACTACAATCAGGCCTACCAGTTTACCATAACTGCATGGCCAATGTCGGGTGCCTTGTTTGACCAATGTACCAAAACTATTCCAGCATTGGTAACGGTGAACTACCTCTCGCCTGACACATGAGACGTATGTAATTTCCCCCCCCTCCAGCCCCCCAAAAATAACAATCTGAAAGACTACACGGGAAGAAATGGCTGCTAAATCATATTCCAAGTGAAGAGCAATTTAACGCACCCCGAATGTTGTCAGCTACATTACAAGGAACCCCATTCAGGAAGGCTAAAGTAAAATTCCAAGAATTCCCAGAGGCGTAGGAAAAGAGTAAAAGCATGGCTAGCCTGACCTTAACCGGCTGCTTTTTGAGTAATGCGGAGAATTTTCTGAGCCTCGCCGACAGCCTCCGAGTCTCTTCCTCACCGACCCCCTCCTCCCCACTTACACAAATGCTCGCCCCGAGGAAAAAGGGGGAGTTTAATGAATGCTGTCTCGAGCTGCGATCCCAGGAACTGGTCGCTTAGGAATAAACTCCCAATAAAGTGTTAAAAAAAAAAAAAAAGAAGTCTCCCCAGCAAGAAAAAAAAATACAGCCCGACCAATCCACAAGCTGTCACCGCGCTGTGGGATCTTCCACCCAACCGGCCCCCCGCCGCCCAGGCCGGCCGTCCGGCCCAACGAGAGGCGACCGGAGGGCAGGCGGGCACCTTTCCGCTCGCAGACCCAAGCGCCCTGCTCCGAGTGCACGCGCGGAGCGGCGGCCGCCCCCGCAGAGGCGTGTGCTCGCCCACGGCCACTTCGGCCAAACAAACCTCGTGGCTCGGAAGTGGCAGCGGGAGTTGCAGCAACGCCGCCTCCCCGAGCTCGGAGCCCCCCAGAGGTGCCAGCCGGAGCCGCCCGCTCCACGCCGGAGCGCCCCGCACCGCGGAGGCAGGCGGCCGGCCCCGCCCGGAAGGGGCGGCCCGCGGGGGGCTCGGGGCGCGGGAGGAG